ATACTAATACTAATACTAATACTAATACTAATACTAATACTAATACTAATACTAATACTAATACTAATACTAATACTAATACTAATACTAATACTAATACTAATACTAATACTAATACTAATACTAATACTAATACTAATACTAATACTAATACTAATACTAATACTAATACTAATACTAATACTAATACTAATACTAATACTAATACTAATACTAATACTAATACTAATACTAATACTAATACTAATACTAATCAATCTATCCATCAATTTGTATGCCTCATATTTCGGTGCCAATTAGCAATGCAGCTCCAAGGCTCGAGCCTAATGAATTGTGTGAGCATAACAATGCTTCAGCCGAGGCTTATTTGACAGGTGATAGCTGGTAATTTCGTTCAACATTCGTTCTTTATTACCAATAATGATAGATATCAGTTAATATTCACACATATTTCAATGCGTATTCAATTGTTGTTCAACGAAACAACTTGGGCAGCATTAATTGTTAGCCAACACACAAGTTGTAAGCGGCATGCATTGCTTCGCTGTCATTCAAGTCCGAAGACCAGAGATAGCGTGATATATATACATATATATATATATATAAAGGAATGTGTCTATAGTAGGAGCAGACGTACGACCCAATGACCGACCCAAAGGACACGCAGCGGCGGCTCCAAAGTGAACCCTTGACACTGGGCTGGACTAGACTGGACTGGGCTGGGGCCGGGGCTCAAGCGGGCTCGGCGGCGGCACAGCTTGAAGTTAAATAAATTAAGGGCAATTAGGCGGAGTATTACGAGCACAAAGGTCAAAGCCAGCTGGAACAGCCAGCATCCTGCCCGCTGCCCAATTGCTCCCCAGCCTCCAGTTCTCCAGGGGCTTCAGGTGATTTTTGCCTATCTGAAAATTATGTTGGCAAATATTTATTTTGCCTCATGCAGCGACTACGATTTCATTCTGCTTCTTCGTCTTGTTCGTCTCTCCTTTTTTTTGTTTTTGCATTAATTACGAGATGTTGCACCGTAGGTTTTACAGTTGCTGCCGCTGCTGCGGAAGTTGTTCAAATCGCCGAGATTAGCGGCGAGTGCAGAAAGCGTGGCACAAAAGCACTTTGGCCAATTAACTGCGGCTAATTGTTGCGTACAGAGAGAGAAATATTGTAGCCAAATGTGAAAGTCAACAAATTGTACAAGTGTGTGGCAGCCACAATAGCCAAATCAGCAGCATGCCACATGTGTGGCCATGTGGGCGACACAGAGAAGTGGCATGAGAAGCGGCCTGTGACAGCCAAGACATAAAGAAAAGAGAGAAAATACAGCAACATTCATTCGCAGCACAGCGATCATAAAGCACTCACAGCGATTTCTCAGCCAACTTCCGCTGCGGAACGATTTGCAAGCAATCGAGTTCTACTTTCGCCCAGCCAAGCGAATTTATCATTTTTGAAAAGCAACAAAACTGAAATAAATGATTATCATGCCTAACATGGAATTCAAGCGATTCCCCAATGCTGATCGGGCATTTCGCTACATGCGAAACACGAAAGAGCAGCGCACCGAACTCTAAATACTCTAGCCGAGCAGGTTGCTTGACTGCGATTCGATGGGGTATATATGATTGTATCTTTAAAATAATAAAAATATATTTTGACCTAAGCTAACGCACTACTATTTTTATTTTTGATGAAGTTGGCTTCAGCTCCATTCATGCATAACATCTAAAAATAAGTATAAATATAAATATTGAAAGTCTTGACTTAGAATGTTACGTTTTTATGTATAACACTTATATAACAAATGCATATATAACACTTATATATAACAAATTATATTCTGTCTTACTCATATCGTCTGTCATCTCTATAACACTTATATAACACATGCATATATAACACTTATATATAACAAATTATATTCTGTCTAACTCATATCGTCTGTCATCTTTTCTATTCATGCAAAGTTTTAAGACTTTTCAAACCACCCTCGCATAGCTGTTTCATAGCCCCTACAAAGGTATTTTTCAATAACTTTTTGTGTTGCTGCAATAGCTACATAGTGTGCAAAGCCTAAGCTTGACTGCAAGGCTACGTCTCTTAAATATACATAAAATTATATATATATAAATATATACATATAAACATATTTATAAATACATATATATTTAAGACATAGTTTAAAATCGAATCAAAAAAAATTTCATTCATTTTCAACACATTTCAATTGGTTTTATATAGAAGAAAAAAACGCAACTCATTTAGAAAATGTGCAGAAGACAAAGCGTGGCTCTACGCTTGGCTGACTCCATGTAGAAGAAGAGGAAGCCAGAGCTAGAAGATAGAAGATACAAGCTAAAGAAGATACAAGGGGAAGCGCATAAAGACGCTAATGTAACTGTGAAGAGTAACACGCCATGAGAAGATTTCACTTTTCGACAATCATAACTGACCTTAATCAAAGTGAATAATGTTGGCAGTGCTAAAAATAGCCTTTAGGCTGTGAGCTGTAGCTAGATGTAGATGCAGATGATGGACTAGATACATAGATGTATCTGAAGATACATATCTATCTATCCATTGTATATATATTCAAGAGGTAAGCTAATACATGGATGTATCTGTAGAGTGTCAAGATGTATCTAAGATAGATGAGATATACAAATGTATCTGAGGAATCTAGGCTAGATACACAAATGTATCTGTGAGATGTAATTATATCAAGATGCAGATTATGGTCTAGATACATAGATGTAACTGTAGAGTGTATACATCTCTATCTATCTGTAAGAGTGTATCAGATATATAAATTATGGTATATATAAATATATATTTGTGATCTAGACCAGATACACCAATGTATCTGTTGAATGTATCTTTAGCTATGTAGAATCTAGGCAAGAAAGAAAAGTATCTTCTGATATGCAGCAGCTAAGCTAAATGAATAATTGTATCTGTAAGATGTATCTGTAGCAAGTATCTATAAATATGCAGTAGGTAGACCTTATATATGCATATGTATCTGTTAGATGTATCTGCAGCTGGGCAGCAGCTAGCAAATGCGTAGCTGGTTAAGTTGCTTCGCCTTTTTTACGATTATTGTTGAGCAAACACGTTTGCGGCAAAAGTAAAAAACTTCTCAGGCTGAAGCTGAGGCGCAATCGCTGTCTAAGTATCTGTATCTTGAAGATGCGACTTGAAAATTTCATTCATATGCATTAAACAGAGAGAGAGAGAGAGGAAGAGGATGGTAGAGAGAGGGGCAGGGGCACAGCGCACAGTGAGCTACACAGCGCGTTTCCTGTCTGGGCAACATCATGAGATATCATGTGCCCCATGCACAATGCAGCAGCTGCTGTTGCAACAACAACAACAACTACCTGCCACAAAGTGGCCCGCAGGTGAAGTAACTTATACGCCGCCTGCAGATAATTAGCTTAACGCTCACATAGCTGCCCCGCAGTACCTGCCTCACAGTCCCGCGTCGCCCCAGCGCCAGCTGCAGCTCCATCTCAGTGAATCTCAGTTCCAGTTTCGGTCGCGCCGTCTCAGGGTCCACAATCACACTGTGTGTGGGTCTCAAGTCTTGTTGTCATCATCATTAAAAGCCCAGACCGTCTGTATCTGTATCTGTGGCTGTGGCTGTATCTTTTTATCTCTTCTTTTCTTTGCTTTTTTGTGCGCTTCACAGAGGGTATTAAAATGTGATCATGCCATGTGTTGCACGCTTAGCAGATGTTGTTGACTTGCGGCCTTATATATATTCTGGTTCTAGATCAAAAGTCGTTTCATTTAGATCTTTAAGGTGAAGCCCTAAACTTGCAGGTTGCAAAGTCTGAAGCATTAATAGATATATAAAGATATATATTGAAATTTTCTTAGAGTATCTACACTTCGTTTAGCCTAAGCAACTCTCCTTTTCTTCTTCTTCTCTTGCTGCTGCTGCAAATCTAACAACTTTTTTCTGGTCTTTGTTCTGCAGAAGCAGCCAAGGCGATCATTATTCCAGATAGAATTGTTCATACATATATATACATATACATATATATATATATATATATATATATATATATATATATATATATCGATATATGCATTTGCACAGTTGAAAGCTGATCTTGAGCATGGCGCGCTCCCTGCTACCCTGTAATTACGCCCAGATTTCAACAAATTGTGAAATTCTGCACACGTTGCACACAATGCATCGATTCATTCACATTCATTTGGCTGTACTCGAGTCTCGGCGCAGTCGACGGATGTGACTCATTCACTTCAAACACAAATTACGTCTCAGAAGACCCAAAGAGAGGCCCCCAAGCACACCCCGCCCTGCCCAAGGAACGTTTCTCATGTTTATTTACTTTATTTGGTTTTGTTGTGCTTCGCGGCTGAGTAGGTCGCGCCGGGTCAAAGAATTCCTATTCCAGCAGATCAACAAGCGCCGAAAAAACAATCTTAATTGCATTCAATAGAGATGAAGATCAACATTTTTATATACGGCATTTGATTTCTTACCAAATAACTTTATACATTATAATAATTTGTAATCTAACTAGATCAATGTCGTCTTTTAAGCAATATCTTATCGCAAGTTGCAGATGCTCAACATGTTGAGAGTCGCATGTTGCCAAGCGCGCACATTGCGAAACGGTTAAAGCAACATTGGTAGCCGCTGAGCACGAGTGAGAGCGGCCGCACGAATGCCCAACGCAACACTCCTCAGCGTACAGCCAACCCCCTCGCTTAAACAACGACAGCGCACGAGAGCTAAGCACAGCAAAGTCAAGCGTATACACGAAGCGGTGGGCCGAACACGAGTGGCACACAGCGTTGCCGACGAAACGAGCGTTGTTTTTGTTATTCTTTTTTCGTTTTTTTTTTGTCGTTCGCTGGCTTTGGCTTTGGCTTTCGCTTTTGCCAGTGCAGTGCATCAGCTCGGCGCTCAGTTCAAGTCGATGATTGCTGCCGAACGGTTGGGTTTTTAGCCGTATGTAGCGCGTAGCCGTTTGAGCTTCTTCGTTCGCTTGAAAATCGTTACAAGTGTGAACCAAATGAAATTTGAATTGAATGCTATAATGAAGTTGGCAATGATCATTATCAAGTGCAATGTGAGTGGGCAGCAATGTGTAACAGTTGCCTATGAAAATCAATGAGCAGTTGAATAAAACTCATCACGCGCACCTCGCACACGCACACACACACACACACACACTATCTTCAATCAGCTTCGTGTACTCGTGACTCGTGACTCGACGCCGCGACCGTGTGCGTGTGTGTGTGGTCCTGTTTCTGTGCGGCTGTGTGTGTGTCTTGAACGCAGGGCTCGAGTCCAGCTCCTTCCACAATTCCTGTCGTTCTTCTAACGCTGCTCTGATTGCAGGCCACGAGGCCGAAACGTAACGAAAACGAAAACGAAAACGCGATGAAAATTAAAGCTTTGCGTGACAAAAATCGCTAACCAAAAGAGCAAAAAAAAAGAAACAAACATAACGGTAAAAAAAAGGAAATTTATACACATATATAACAACCCCAACAAGTGAACACAAAGAAAATTGTGGCCGGACAGTGTTGCGTAAAAGTAAAAATTTCGCTTTCATTTTTTTGGTCGCGAGTTCTGGCAAAAAAACTGCCAACAACAACAAAACGAAACACAACAAAAAATAAAAAACGATTATCATCTGGTCCTAGCGAGCGGCGTCGCTTCTATAAATAACGTTGCGCCAGGCGCCGCTAATTACGCCAAAACATGAAAATATTTACAACAAAAACAAAAGGCCCAACAACAGCAGCAACAACGAGGAAAACTCGGCAATTAATCAATTTTCCGCTTGACCAATATATAATAAATTCATTCGAGCTGAATCCACACGGAAGTTTGCACTATTATCATAATTAAAAACGGGAACAGCAAAGCAGAGTAGAAGGAGCAGCAGGAGAAGGGGCAGCAGCAGGAGGAGCAGGAGTTTAGCATATCAAAGCAAGCATATCAAAGTAAGCCAGCGTGGCATGGCCTAAAGGATAGCATATCACACACACCAACACACACACATACACACATACACACATAGAAAATCTTAAAGATGCAGCTGCATTGGAGGCAGCTGCTGCTGCTGCAGCTATTGCTGTGGCAACTGCCCAGATCTTTGCTAGCGAATCGCTATAATTCAGGCAAGCTATATGCAAACGGCGGCAGCTCAAGTACCAGTTCCAGTTCCAGTTCCGGCTCCAGTTTGAGCTACAAATCGTCACAGCAGCAGAACGAAGTATTCTCCATAGCCGATAGCCAGCCCATGACAGACGATGGCTATGTGGCTCCATCAGCGGCTCCCTATTATCCGGCCAGCGAGCTGGACAATCCGACGCAGCACCTGAGCAGTTGTCAGACGGTGTGCGCCTGCAAATGGAAGGGCGGCAAGCAGACGGTGGAGTGCATCGATAGACAGCTCATCCAAATACCCGAGCACATCGATCCCAGCACCCAGGTGCTGGACATGTCCGGCAACAAGCTCCAAACGCTATCCAACGAGCAGTTCGTGCGAGCCAACCTGCTCAATCTGCAGAAGCTCTATCTGCGCAACTGCAAGATTGGCGAGATCGAGCGCGAGACGTTCAAGGGATTGACCAATCTGGTGGAGTTGGACTTGTCGCACAATCTCCTGGTGACAGTGCCCAGCCTGGCCCTGAGCTACATCTCCTCGCTGCGCGAGCTGACACTCGCCTCGAATCACATACACAAGATCGAGGCGCAAGCCTTCGGCAGCACGCCCTCGCTGCACAAACTGGATCTGTCGCACTGCGACATACAGACCATATCGGCGCAGGCCTTCAGTGGTCTGCAGGGACTGACACTGCTGCGCTTGAATGGCAACAAGCTGAGCGAGCTGCTGCCAAAGACCATCGAGACGCTGAGCCGGCTGCACGGCATCGAGTTGCATGACAATCCCTGGCTATGTGACTGTCGATTGAGGGATGCCAAGCTATGGCTCATGCAGCGCAATATACCCTATCCGGTGGCTCCGCTGTGTGCGGGCGGACCCGAACGCATCATCGATCGCAGCTTTGCGGAGCTGCACGTGGACGACTTTGCCTGCCGACCCGAAATGCTGCCCATCTCGCACTACGTGGAGACGGCCATGGGCGAGAATGCCTCGATTACGTGCCGCGCACGCGCCGTGCCCGCGGCCAGCATTCATTGGTATTGGAATGGCCGTCAGCTGGCAAACAACAGCGCCTTCAGCGCCTATCAGCGTGTCCACATGTTCGAGCAGCTGGAGGGCGGCTTCGAGAAACGCTCGCGTCTCGTTCTGACCAATGCCCAGGAGACGGACTCCAGCGAGTTCTACTGTGTGGCCGAGAATCGCGCCGGCAGCGCCGAGGCCAACTTTACGCTCCACGTGAGCATGCGAGCCGCGGGCATGGCCTCGCTGGGCAGCGGCCAAATTGTGGGCCTGAGCGCCGCCTTGGTGGCGCTCATAGTGTTCGCTCTGGCGGCTATTATGTGCCTGCTGCTGCGGGTCAAACGGCAGCCGTATGTGGACAGCAAGACGCCCAATCACATGGAGGTCATCACCTCGGTCAACCATCAGAATTCCATCACCAACAAGACACAGCCGGCAACGGGCAATGGCAGCATCGGCGGCGTTGTCATCGCCAATGGAGCTGTGCCCAATTGCATCGACGGGGGCTTAGCTGGCGGCGCTGCTGGAACGCTGGAGCGGAAGAGCAGCAGCAGCACAGCACCAACTGGCGGCGGAGTGGGAGGAGTTGGAACCAATTGTAGACGCACCAGTGGATCGCCTCATGAGCAACGCAATGCGAATCCGGTCCAGAAGCCACCACGACTCACCGATCTGCCCTACTCGACGCAGGGCTATGACAATGCTGGCAGCGTGCTCTCCACAGCCTCGTGCTTCATCTCGCCCAGCGGCTCGACTGGACATGGCAACAATCCGGATCTTATCAATGATACGAAACGCTTTGGCAGCGACGAGTTCTGCGATCTCAAGCTGCCCGCCATGGAGCTGACGAGTGGCGGCGGCAGTGGGGAATACAGTCGGGCCAACGGCTGCGACTCGCTGTATCCATCCGGTCTGTGGGAGCATGCAGCAGCAGCGGCCAGCTCGGCGGATGATCTGTTCATGAAACGCTACACGGACAAGACGCCCATCATCGACTCCAGCCAGCTGTACGACCTGCATGAGCGTAGCGCAGCCAGCGACTACTTCAGCAAGACCTTTCCGCGCTCCCATTGCAATGCGACGCTGCAGCAGAGCGGATGCAGTGCAGCAGCTGCCTCGACCACCTCGACGGCCACGACGAATCTATCTAGCGGCTCCTCTGGCTACCCCAATGACTATGGCCTGCCGTTAGTGCCGGGCGCTGAGCATCAGCACAATCATCAGCTGCAGATGCATCCACTGCAGCAGCTGCAGCAACAGCTGCAGCACAGCGGCAGTCCACACTTTAGCAGTCGCACCCTGCCACGCCTACACGATGGCGGCGGCAGCAGCAATGGCTCGGCCAGCTCATCGCCCACGCCCGCACAGGCAATGGCTGCACCGTCAGCTAGCTCCAGTTCCTGCTCAATACTGCCCAATGGACAGCCCGTGAATGCCAAGACGATACGGGTCTGGCAAAAAGGGGGCGTGCCCGTGCTGCCGCCCGTAACAGCACTGAAGCGGGCGTTGATCAGCAGCAGTCGCAACTCGCCCGACGAGGGCTACCAGGAGGGCTGTGGAACCGATGTCTAAGCGCCTCCACCCACATCCACACACCCCCACACACACACACACACATATAAACCCCCGCAGAACTGACTAAACTTAAACTGAATGCATACAGTAAACACTAACTAAAACACACTCACCCACTCATACACACACACACACACATATTTTATATACACACATATGGCTCATCGACTAGCGAGAGAATCGGGCGAATTTGGTGGCGTGAATTTGTGCAAGCGAACTGTTTGTGATAGTGTCTAATAAAAGATATGGCGAATGAAGATAATAAACAAAGAAAACTGCGAAAGCAAAAGCGAAAAGAAAATTCAAAATGGAAAATTCAATGAAAAATAATACAGTATACTTCTAGTTATAAAGCGCAAAGCAAGGCAAAGGAAAACAAAAAAAAAAAACTAAAAACTAAACTAAATAATATATATCATACCTATAACAATATATATAGAATATATATGTATGAATACAACTACAACTAACTAGCGAACCCTAAGAAACTGTAAATACCAACATCTCAACTCTCGCAAATCCCCGCATTAAGAAGTATAAGATATAACTAAAAACTAACTGCAATAAAAGTAAAGTAAAAGTAAAAGTAAAAGTAAAAGTCAAAGTAAATGTCAAAGTCAATGTAAAAGTCAAAAGTAAATGACAGAAATAACCAACACACACGCAGGCAGAGTACTTAAGCGTCGTCTATGCCCATGTAAATGTAATTAAATTTATAACTGTAAAACTAACTGTAATTCTAACTGTAACTCTAACTGTAACTATCGCTCTCTCTGTCTTTCCCTTTCTCTATCTCTCTCTCTCTCTCTCTCTCTCTCTCTATGCGTGTGTGAGAGTTTCAAATGTTGTTTCCAAAGAAGCCAACCAACAAAATCTTCTCCTCCCCCTCCCTACTTTAAAAGAAATGTAAATTGTAGGCAGTTACATACTACATATAGAAAACTCTTATTCGGCTCAACAAAAATCCTTAACTGTCAGTTAAAACTTAGAAAGACAAAGAGAAAGGAAAGCAAGAGCAAGACCCACTTTATGAATTTTTAAGTGTTAACGAAACAAAAAAGAAAATAGCAAAATTTAAAGTGAAATTAAATCTTAATATCTGTGTGACTTCTGTATATATAGGCAAAATATTGAATGTATTGCATAAGCATCTGCATTATTTGTGGGCGTGGCCAGAGCGTTAGATATAAAAATAAAAAATTTAACAATGATCAGCACGCATCGACTATGTAGGTAATACCAAGAATCAAATACTTACGAAGGCGGTGTTAACTCAATTGTCAAACTAACATTCACTCAGCTCTAGCTCTCAACTAGCATTTATATGTGACAGCTGTAATAACAGCAAGGCGTAACACTTGGATTTAAGAGCTAGACTTGATAAGGAGAAGTGGACAAGCGAATTTGTAACAGTTAGATTTGACATTTTATTTGACAGCAGCATTAAAAAAGGAATTAGGTTTCATAAAACTTAAAACTAACATTTATATTTGACAGCTGAATTTAATACATTTAGTATTACATCAGATTTGACTGCTATAATTTAGAAAATTGCTGCTAGCTTACAAATTTGACAGCTGATATGCCGAAATGGCTAATTTCACTGCTGAATTTGAAAAGCAGGTTTAAAAATTTCAATTTCAATAGATTTTCTAATTTGACTAAATTTAACTAAATGCAAATAATTTCTTATATTGACAGCCAGATTTGACAGACGAATATTTAGTTTAAATAGCGGAATTTCCCTAAATAAAAAACTAACATTTAGATTTTACACTTATTTATTCTAATTAACAATTTCCTAATTTTTTTCATCATATTGCATATTTAACAAGCCGTTTTAATGCCCTGTCAAATATGTAGCATGCAGATTAAAAACTAATCTGTCACTTAATTTAAAGCTAACAATCTGATTTTTCTATTGGATTAAAGAAGTGTTCACTCTGATTGGGTGTATCTGCATTGAGACATGACAGCTAGACTTGACAGAACATAAATTTAACACACACATTTGACAGCTGGCTATTATCGAACGTCCTTCAACATTTAATTTGTTTATGGTGAATCGGATTTATCTCTCGACAACAAATGAAACTATATTCGCATTCGATTCGAAATCAATGTCAACTGCATCAGCTCAGATATTCCGTTGAACTCCAACTTTTAATTGACATTTTGACAGTAATCGATTTTGAGCAAGGCTAAAGCGAGATTTGCGCCAGAATGCTGACCCACTTTTTCACTTTTGCATATTAATAGAAATGGTGAGAGTTGAGTTAACGCCGCGCCGCACACTATGTATATTTCCCACTCCTGAAAACCCCAGAAAACAAAAGAAAAAATTAACTGTGAATCCGACTGCGCTTTGGCATTAAACTTAGGTAAAACTCGTATTTGCAGACATTAGCTAAAACATGTAAAAAGTTAAGGAATATCAAATGAAATTCAACATATTCATCAATTCATACGTAAATAAGACATATGTAAATGCCCACACACACACACACACAGAGTGCTCCAAGTACCCACACACACACACACCCACACCCACACACATACGAAAAAGAACTTCAAGATATATATCTACAGATATTACTTGCCTGTACGTCATAAGCTCTAAAAGCATTCAAGCAACAAAATAAAAACAAAAAGAGAAAAACAAAAAAATTCACTTGAAAAGCAAAAAATAAAACGAAGAAGAAGAAGAGGAAAAACAAAATAATATCTTTAAGGTAAACCAAAGACTTTTTTCTTTGCATCTAGTAAATGAGGGCATAAACTAAATGTTGAACTTGAATGAGCAAAACAATGAACATGAAAAATAACCTTAGCAATTAAGTAATACCTATGTATTGTATAATATATATATATATCTATATATATATATATAAATATAACTAAAATGCATATACATATATATCTATAAATATAAATATTAATATAAATATAAATATAGTATATAGATGTATCTACTTAACATGTATGACAGGGCGCAGAGTTCGCTTAACAAAAGGCAAGCATTGAATGCAACTGAATGAAGAACAAAGCAAAGGAAATATATATAAACAATATATATATCTATATATATATGAATGAAAGCACACGGCGTTGTCATTACTCTTACAGCTCGGCAAAGGCAGGTAGGTACCCATGGGCAGCGAGGGGCGTGACCCAATTAGCTCACAGCAACAAAAAGAAAAATGTAGCAGCAGCAGCAAAGACTCTGCTGCACACACAGCCAGAGACAATCGAATTCGCATGATGTTGCCCTAAAGCAGCAGCAGCAGCAGCTGCTGTTACTGCTGCTGCCGTTGCTGTTGCGCTTTTGTTGTTGGCCATTGCAGCGTGTGGCATATTAGGGCCAATCGTCTAATCGCCAATTATGCATTTAACCCAACCGCCCCTAGCCTCAAATTTACACACACACAGAGACAGAGATTACCTAGCTGTGTAAATCGATATGCGCAATCGAGAGGGCAAAGCCAAATCTGCGACTCAACGAAGTTTAAATACTCTGACAACGAGAGTTTCCGAGTGAGACATTGGCAATTGCAATATTTTAAAGCAGAAAAACACTTTTATTTGATTGCCCAAAAATCTCTTTCGAATTGATATTTATTGCTTATTTTATCAGCCAGCCTATGTTCAGGCTTATGCTTAGATAATCCGCATGTTTCACTTCAAATGAAACTAATATAATCTCTAACAAAGCCCAATTCAATTGCTTTCCTCGTAAGTGAACCATATTTTCTTATATTGAGTTTTGGCTTAAATATTAATAGAAAGAGTTTAAATTCCAATTTAATAATAAATTCTTTCATAGAATAAAATGCATTGCATAAAGATTTACAAAATATATCTGACTAATTATTTTGTTTTCTTCCTTGGCGAATTGTTTTTAGCTCTAAGTTGAAAAGCTATGGTATAAATATTTATTTTTATTTTAATTTATATTTTATTAGAATTTACCACAAAGCTCTGCTAACTCACTCAACTTTATATATATAAGTATAAACATATAATAAATAAATGTATAAATTGCATGACTTAATGCTGTTGATGCTTTCTCTAGCATATCCTCGCTTTGACTTAATTATATTTTGATTCAACTTAGGAATAAATATGAATATGAAAATTGTATAGCTAAACACTCTTTTTAAGTAAATTTAATATTTTTAAATTATTATCAACTGTTTTAATATATCATCTCGTATTCATTTAGTATTAGATATGACTCTTTGCTAATCTTTTTTTATTAACTTTTTTTTCATAAAGTAAATATGAATGCAAAGACAGTTTTATAACTAATTTCTACTTACGTCTATTTTATTTAAAATTCTCATTTCCTATAGCATATCCTTTATGTAGTATTCACTTAGATTTAATGCCTTCTTAGCTTACAATATATTGTCTCTTCTTCTCGCCTCTTCTCGCACAACTTTAATATGAATAAATTTAGTATGTTAAGCAAAATGTATTAGCCGCAGTGCACGAGCCGCACACAGTTATGGAAGAAAGTCTGACAACATTATATACACAACTATTAGTGTTAATTTGCTTCTTCATTGGGTTCGCCTGGTTCACGTCAACGTTTTGATACCCTCTCGAAACGTTAGCCAGGCCAAGCCCCTCTGCCCTGCTTATGCCATTTCTCGCTTTAGTTTTGCCCACAAATTTGCAGCTACACATGTTTGACATGCGTGTGTGTTTGTGTGTGTGTGTGCTGGGAAAGTTGTGGGAAGCGCGTAATAAATACGGCGGCAGGCCCCAGTACGAGATTATATCATGGCATGCATAGGTCTAACTGTCTGGCTCGTTGCCGCAGATACAGTCCCTGTCCGCTCCCTGCTTGACTCGCTCCACTGTCCGCCATATCCCTCGCCTTATTGACGACGCGCAAAGTTTGCCAACTAAACAAGTTTTGTGCCTCAAATGAAATTTAGGTTGCAACTGAAGCCCAACAAAAGCCAAACAAAACAAAGCAGCAGCTATAACAGCAGCAGCAACAACAACAACAAAACGGCGCCAAGCGCAGAAAAATTAGAACTTTTGTGCTGAAGGAAAGTGAATTTTATTTGTTCAACTTTATTACGTATACGTGCCGTTGTTCCGCCTGTGTAAATAACCAAAATGCAAAACGTGGCCCCCCGTCCCATATACGAGGCGTCCACCGCCCCCCTCCCCTCCCTTACCACGCCCACTCGCCTGTGATCTTTGCGCATCTAATGAAGACAGCGCCGGCAGGTGCTGCTCGCACTTTTATGTTCATGCATTGCGGCCTGTTTAACGACTTGAGCAATGCCTAGCATGAGGAATTTATAAAAGGAAAACAAGTTGAGACAAGTATGAGTAGAGATGAGAGCACACACACACATACACACACACAGGCACGCGAAACTCTCATATGCCTAAGCTAACAGACCGTAAATATTGTTGAAAATGGCAGTTTATTTTTGGGTCTCGCAGCGCCATTCACATCATTCAATAGCAGGACAACAAAGGACATCCAGGACCGCTGATGGATGTAAACGGCAGCAAAGCAGGCAAACAGCTGATTCCAGGTGCAAGGAGCTGAGCCGAACAGCCAAAGCCT